TATCTATCTATCTATCTATCTATATCTATAAATATATATATATATATATATATATATATATATATATATATATATATATATATATTCACACACACACACACACACACACACACACACACACACACACACACACACACACACACACACACACACACACACACACACACACACACACACACATATATATACATATATACATATATACATATATACATATATACATGTATACATATATACATATATACATATATACATATATACATATATACATATATACATATATACATATATACACACACATTTATATATAGTATTTTGTGTTTAGTATGCAAGGTGATTTTGCAATCCCCAATTTTCAATAGCATAGATGAAATGAACACAAAAGATTATGTGAAACTTGGCAAGGATCACCAGATGTGACCAATCTTTTTGATTGCACCAAACATTGACCAGTCATTTGTCTCAGGTACGATGGAGACGACTGAAGCAGTGATGTTGGGGGCCGAGGATGATCTTCACAACCCCATAGAGAAAAGTTCTTCTGACAACACGTCTACTTACATTCAAAATGTTTTTGATGACTTTGTAAGTATAAGATAATAGATTTTTAGTCTTTATTTTATAGCTGGTTCTGACTATAGATTGAGATACTTAAGGCAGGTATTTGTTGTTGTTTAACCAATGATAATGCATGCATTTTTTTTTGGTACAGTCAGTGAGATCCTTTCATTGGTTGATATTTTTTAATATTTCACAGATTGACCTGATGAGTTACACCAGTTATTTAAATTGTTTTCCAGTTTTTCAAATACTATGAGACTAGCTAATTTAAATGAATTGTTAATAGAGGTACAAGACTTGATATTAATTACTGGGTAGGTCTATTCTTCATTCCTATATATACTTGTCTTCATTAAACTTTAGTTATCATTACTGAAGCATCTTTAACTTTTATTCATATTTTTACAGCAAAATCCAGATCTGGGGTACCTAGTGCTGTCACTGTTGGTAGCTATAACATGGTCCATCTACATCATACTCTTCAACTCACGTGTACAGGGTCGCATCCTAACTGCCATTCTGAGAAGATTTTTCAAGACTGGAGATCTTGTTATTGGTAAACACTTTTGATCATAAATTAGTACAAAGACCAATTGCTTGAGTCTTGAGAGAATTGATACATATTAATATAACTACATCCATTTGTTTATTTTTGTATTATACAAATAAAAACTAGTTTGAAAAATTATGTAACTTTCTATTCATATTTCTTGTAATTTCAGGCTCATTCTCATTATCTGTATTGTCTGGGAAGATTATGTTTAGAAATGTAGTCTATGTGACCGAAGACTACAGCTTCAGAGTCGTTGATGGAATACTCAAATTTCATTATTGGCTACCTTATGTCAAGAGAGAGTTGTCAGAAGGTTTGTTTGTTGTTTATTCATGTATGGGTAGTGTTTACAAGATTGAATACCAGGTGCATTAGTGGTTGTAGATATGCTTGATCTTTTTTTCTTTTCTTTTATACTATAACTTTAATGTGAAAAAACTCAAATTAAGATACATCTTCCCAGATATGTCCCATTGTGATCACCGGGTTTGGCTTGAGCTAAATGGGCCTGAACTACACATATACAATCGCTCTCAGCTGTACTCCAAGCTGGAGAAAACCTTTGGGCTTGAGCAGCTGTTGATGAGTGGAGGAGGGAAGACAGGCAAGACAGATGAGGAGGAGGAGGTTCAAGTTGCTCAGACCCAGGCAAAGGATATGAGTTTTTGGCAGGACTGGCGCGATCTCATTCCGGTCATAAAGATTGACCTCAATATGGTTAGTTGGATAAGAGGATATTTTGTTCTGTTGTTAGTTGGATGGGAGGATATTTTATTTTGTTATTTCATTCACTTTGAAGATTTGTAATTTAAGGTGTCTAGAACTCTTTTCCCAATTCTCAAGACTAAAGAAAAAAAGTTCTAATGCTTAGGTGAGATTGATATCTATTGTAATTTTAGATACTCTTTTTAGGGTTATTGCCAGGGATGGCATGCAAGTATATGCCATGCCCACTGAGTTTCCTGTATTGATTCTCTTTACACAAATAGGCTTCACAAGTACTTAGGCACTACTAGTAAATGGCTTAAGTTGCTTTGTTTACCCTTTTCTTTGATTTTTAGGTCATTTTTTTAAATCTTGTATTGCTATTAATAAAAATATAGCATATATATAGTATTAGTAGAAAACAGAAGAAAATAAAACAATTTTTTTTTCCCCAAAAAACTGTAAAAATCAAATGAGGCCATGAGGTCTTCTAATTGGCTCCTTGGAGGCTAAGAACTTGTGGAGCCATCTATATGTTGAGACATTTCACAGCTATACTGCTGTGAAATCTATATTTTCATGGTGACATTGGGTTAAAGAAGCACATGTATTTGAGAAATTTCATACATTTTTTCTTATTTCAGGCACGTTTTGTTTTTGGCAATCGCCTTGTGGCATCAACTCTCATCCTAACAACAGATAAAGCAGAATGTTGTTATTCAACCAAACAAGCAGCTTGTTCTCTTGATCATTTTATGCATGTTGTGAAGTCAAAGGCAGAAAATTTCAGGGTATGTGACTTTGGTTCCTAGTTTATGAGAAAGCAAAATTTAGTATGAAATATTTTTTGTATTCTTTTGCCTTCTAGTTTATAAGAAAAATATGAATTTATAAGAGTAATATATTGTTCTAAAAAGTGGTAAATTTTGCAGGTAATTCTTGCTCCCTGTCCCAAATTATTCTAAAAGTGGTCCATTTTGCAGGTAATTCTTGCACCCAGTCCCAAATACACAGGTGTTCTGGACGAGCCCCCAAGATATATGGGTGAAGGGTTTGTTGTCATGTCATCTAGTCTAGTCAATTTCTATCACTACATGGATGAGCCAGGAGTTGTACCAGAACATCCACAGGTAAATAGTTTTATGTTGTACTCTTACTTTATGGACTATGCATAGCTTTGACACATGAAAGTCTTGTTATGAGAATGTAATTTACTTAAAGAGATGAGTGTCCTAGTTTACAGAAAACTTGGTGTTGAATTATATTTACTTGAAATTCTTTATGTATGTAATGGAATGCATATCATATATGCCTATGCATTAAGACTAATCTGAACAAATGCCAATCTTACTTAGCTGAGATTAACAGAGATATCATGAGCAGTTTAACAAATATGACTGAATTATGTATGCATGGACATATATGAATTTTGTTAAAACATGGAAAACCTCTTGAGTTCTTAGTTATTAAGGAGTGATTTACTAGGCCTACCTTGTCTCACTGGTTTATTCTTTTTCTTGAAGGAAGCTTTGATATCTTTTTATATAATAATTATGATTAAATAATGTTGATAATGATAATGATGATAGTAATATTAATAACAAAAGCAGTGATACTGAAAATTAAAATATTTTCACCAAAAGATTCAAATGATAAGATACACAAGTAAGGTGAAATAGGCCTGATAATTGTCTTTGTAATGTTTATAATGATATCTCTTAATTGTTCATTTGTTATATTTTTTATATGCAGATGGTTTAATTTGCCATAATACTGACATATTAGATAAAAAATTTAAAAGTTAGGTGTGGTGTCATTTTCCCTCATTTATAGCATAACTAAGGGAAGAGATGTCATAAATAATCATTTATGTTAACTACATCATTGTTATGTAGTCTTATTGCAAGTTTTAAGGTAAAGATTTTTTTATATATTCTTTGAATTAGGCAACTCGGATCAAAATAGATGTCTCTGTGACATAATAAATGTAAGCTCTCAGTCATATAGAAGTATGTGTAACTTTAATATATAGTTTGTATAGATTATATATATATATATATATATATATATATATATATATATATATATATATATATATATATATATATATATATGTATATATATATATGTTTGTATGTATGTTTGTATGGATGGATGTATATATATGTATGTTTGCGTACGCACACACACACACACACACACACACACACACACACACACACACACACACACACACACACACACACACACACACACACACACACATTTACTTATCTCTTTCCATATTTAAATAGAAAAGTGAATAGATATAGGCTAATATAGGATTTTATTTATTTAATTTGTCAGATGACTTTACATGTCCATTTTCCTCATGTATTCCTTTCATTGTTTATCCTTATTTCATCTTCCCACTTTCAGACAATGCGTTTGCCAAACGGAGATGAAGTAACAGCTTCAGCCCCTGTCTGGGGGCTGGATATTAAATGTGCAAAAGGAACCAACTTGAGCTATGGGCCTTGGGCTGACCGGCAAAGAGAACAGCTCTTTCGCTTCTTCTTTCCACAGGATTACCAGACAATGCAAGTGAGTAAGGAGGTGCAAACCTTTCTTTTAGTACCTTGTTTAGTCCTAATAAAAATAATTTAGTTTTGGTTTCATGGCTTAGCTTGGAGATTATAGTCTATTTTTGAGTTTTTTTTTTTCTTAAAGTTTGGTATTCATTATATTGTCTGTTGATACTAAATTGTGACTTTACAGGTAAACAAAGGTCCAGTGCCTGGGGAGGTGCGGCAAGTGCAGCAGTTTGATATTCGCCTGAGTATCTTATCAGAGGCTACAATTGATATTCTCTTTTCAAAGGTGTGTATTGATAAGTTGTTAATTGAATTGTCAAAAAGAAGACCACTTGGATAGGGATTTTATATCATTATTCGGTTACCTTTGTGTTGTGTATGAAGGTGAGATATAGAAAGAGCCAGATTTAAAGCAAATGGAATGTAATCAACACTTTGATCTTCTGTTTTCTCAATCCCTTTAAATTTGAGAACTAGATTAATTTTTAATGGCAGTGATCTTTATCATCATCTTACCCTAAACCAGGTGAAAACTAACTAGCTTTTGGGGAATATGGAACTTCATGATGATTGTAATTCCCAGTTGTTTATCATCTCATGTTCTCTCG